GCGTCAAATTCGTGCCTGTACTTCCACTCCGCCGTCGTCTCCTTTGCACATCTTACGTACTTTAGCAAACTTAAGTTTGAGGCTCGATCCACCTTTTTCAACAACATGTACGTCAATCACATTCAAAATAATCCTGTGAAATAAAACGCAAAATTAGCGCCTTTCAAAACAACAGACAATCACAACAAATACAAACAGGAAACAGTAGCCATCCGACAACGCTAAACCAAAATCTAGAATCGAATAAGAATGTTTCACACCATTAAAGTTTTACTTCAAAAACACTTAAGTTATCGAGAGTCTTATTTTCTTGAACGCGATGAGGTACTGGTGGAGATTATGCCTAAAAACAAAAAAACCTGCACAAACTATAAGTAAGAAATATATTGCAAACATCGTAGGCCAATCAATGCTATTTTAAAGCAAATGATCTATAATCATTTGACAGAAGCCTTAAAATACAACTGGGGAAAAGACTCGTTCAGAAATCGCCTTAAACGTTGATTTGTTTGACGTAGAGTATCCGCCAGAATTAAAAGCCGAGAGTTTGGGAATTTCACAAGATGGATAAATAAACTTCTTGAACTTCGGCAGGATGCAAATGATATGTTCTTGTGAGTAGTAAGGTGAGATGATTTTGTCATCTTATGCAATGCGTATGTGACGCGGTTGCAAAACTGTCATCTTCCGTAACGCTTGGAAGACACAGCTAATCAACAAGTGGAACAGGTGGACGAAGGATCTTAGGAGACTGACCAAGATAAGTACTTTAGTTCCATCATCTCCAGCAATGGCACCATTCAGTCAGAGTTAAACAGGAGAATCGCTGTAGCCTCACGCGCATTTGAGAATCTGTCAAATTATTGGGCAGAGGAAGGAGCAGCCCATTCCATCAAAATTCGCCTCAGCTACCACTGATCAGGTCAATGTTGTTGCTGTACGTCATATTGACAACTGCTCTAACGAAAGAGCAAAACTGGAGTTAAAACACGAACAGCAACGTTGGCTTCAACTTATAGAGAAGGTTAAATGGCAGAACGATATGAAGCACTACCATTCTTTTCCGAGAACATGTACCATCAACAGATGCAGAGAATATGAGAAGGAGGTTGTCTTTAACTGGTTGAGCATGCACCATTTACTCTTGCCGTGGGCTTTTTGGAGGAATCGAAACATGGCAAACGTCGATCAGGAGGCAAGCGTGCAGTATGAGGAACAGAGTAAAGGCAGATCAGGTATCGGCGTAGAATATTCCCATGTACGACGCAATAACCAAGCCTTATAGTGAAGTGTAAGAGGGCATCACATGCCAGGGACGTTCTGTTCATGCAAACGGCTCAAGGTGATAATCGTAAGAAACATGCATAAGCAAAACTAATTTCATAGCACTGAGAAACGTATATGGCTTTCTAATTCGTACAGGACAAAGAATATAAACTTTATGGCATATTACTTTAGACGTTCCGCGACATTTTTGACCCATTATCAAAATTATCTCAAGGTGAAATGTAAAATTAAGTGCTAAGAAAATCTGGTGATTTGAGGAATTAAAAAATACCTTAACATCCGGCTTACCCATGTTTTGGGCTATTTTGCAAAAGAGTAAAGGAACATCTGCCCCTGCTCATGATTTTTCGGCGCAGTAAACGGAACGAATCTCTTTCAGTACCGCGACTGAACAGAAGGCCCTTTTAAATCCAGCATTTATCCAATAAAACTTGTGCTATAGGTATTTATTCCGGACTAGCCGGGTTCGACACTGCTTGAGGGCAATCACAAATTCCCTTGAGCAAGAAATTTACCACTCATCGCGTCCAACCGCTGTTGTTCAGCCGGTAGAACGTCTGGCTCAGAATCGAAAAATTCCCGTATCGAGCTCCTGCCTCGTCACTTGCCTTTCTTATTCGCGAGGTCGATAAATGAGTACCATTCAGTGGGAAGGAAACAGGAGACTAAACACCGCGCTTGCCACATGACTGTAGACTCTGTCTTTAATGGAACTCCTACTGATGACATTGAAACATATATGAGCAGCGCACCATCAGCCTGATGAAAATAAGGGCGCCAAAATGGTCGAATCATGAAATTTTAAGGAAGACCAATATTCCAACTGGTGACAAATTTTCCGTTTACTTTCTCATCAACCTTAAACTTGGGAACTTTCAGCGTACTGGCTCGGAAAAGATAAACGCCTATTAACTAAAACATTACTTTAATAATAAGTCACAATACTCAATAAAAGAGGTTTTTAAGGCACAGATTTCTTATATACAAACTGTCTGCAGTATTGGATACCATCGGATTAAGCTCTATAGAATATGATTCATAACTACAGTGTTACATGTTTTACACCATTACATTTGAAGCAGTACGGGACCAAGCAATTCATGCGTAACCATTAGATGGTTCAAATACGCTTTGGTATACTTCGATCCGGAACAGGTGTAGCAAGTGCAATCTGCGCACAGTACATCAAAATCCTGCTTGTATCTGAAACAGGTAACAAAATTAGAACCTCGCTTAAAAAACTGATTCATGCCTGTTATGCGCGACGTCGATCAAGTGAAACTTCGGTTCAGCGGGAAAGCTTTCGTCCAGCACCAGAGCTTGTCCTTTTTTAGTCAACAGGTAGGCGTAAGAAGAGTCGAACAAATCGCAACCTAAATCGACTAATTCCAAAACTTGAGTAGGATCGAGTGCGCCCGGAAAAAAGCGAGGTAATTCTTTCGGAAGAGTGTCCTAAAGTAAACAAATCAACCGCTACCACGTAGTTGTTTCGAAGCACTGAGAAACACCAACAAAATAGCAAACCAGAAAACCATAGTGGGAAATACAGGAGGCAGAATAATTTTAAGTTCATAGGCATAATCAGAGAGATTCAACGATGACTAAACACGGAGTAAGGCAGCCGAAAGAGCGCTAGACGTAAGCCAATTTGTGGATGAACATCAGGCAGAACCGTGTGACCAATAACCATCGATCTAAGGTACGTGCAGGACAAAGTGTTTATGGAAGTTAGTCGAAAAAGACATTGGCAAAAGAACCACCACAGCTTCTCTTACCAAACAATGCTGCAGCAGATTTGCGACTGACGACACTTTGAAATCAGTTAACTGACCATATCCATGAAATCCCTCGAACATGTAACCTATAAAGACGGAAATGAATTAATAAAAAAAAACAAAAACTTAAAATCACCATGGTTAAAGCGCTGATCTCTTAATCTCTAATGATCAGCGTAATGGTCAAACAGTTTGACAGCTAATAATATTAGACGCGATAACAAGGCAACGCGGATAAAGTGGAAACTAGAAGGGACACCAGAAGATTAGGACTGCTGATTTTGGGTCTTAGTTTTTCAAGCTGATTGGCTGGGGGTTGAAATTAAATTTCGGTTACAGCGCGAGGAATGACGAACAAAAACACTATGGGCGCTAAGAGAAAATAGGAAAAAACAGTGAATAAAGCAGTCATACACAGATGGGCAAAGCGACATCCGGTGTATATCCAGACAGCAAGGATTTAATCTTATTTAGGCTATAAGAGTCAGTCATGCGTGAACTACTTTAAAGGCGAGATAACTTCATATTTACGAATGAGAAACAGATGCATTGCTCAGTCATATAAGAGTCGAAATAGTGGTGGAAAGTTCACCACCTGGTTAACGTCGTTACGCTTAAACTATGGATGATGCCAGTCAAGGATGAATGATCAAACACCATGTACCTAATGGTACGATGCAAAGTAACCAACTGGTACAAACGGCGAGATCTGCTGACACTATTTTAAGACTTCATTTCACGAGCTATATTTGGACATACAGCGTTTTACACACAAGTCATAAACATACTGCATTTATGTACGTTGAACCTAGCTGAACATGCTTCAGATGCCTGTCAAAGACCAGTCGCCTGCCAGATGTTGATCGTTTCTTCCTGTTCGTCTTTTCATTTAAACGACACGCTGTGCGTGACACAGCGACACACAAAAACTACTATTCGCGAATTCGGGATGTACGAGGCGACGCACCCTCCACACCTTGTGACAAAAAGTCCTACTTCTGGTCGGAAAAACGGCGCTACGCCTTAATTAAAGGGTTAGAGTGTGAGACAGAATTAAGCATCGATGTCCTGGGTAGTAACAGTGCCGCCAAAACCAGGAGTGATCGATATTTGAAACAATCATTTCCGAACTGATGCCAAGCGGAACTACCTAATTTTATAAAGCATACAACCTAGACGCTGAATTTACTATTAGTTTTTCATATCCTGTTTGTTCATCGGTTATATCGTTAAATCATTTGTTGTACTGTACGCACTAAACGCTGACGCAAATTCATAGTGTTGATAGTGCCACGAGGACTGGAATAGCAGAGCGGCCCAGATCAGTTATGTCTGAACCTTTCAGAACGATACCTCGAATGTGTTCTAAACAATGCCCTCAGCGTAGCCAAAGCCAAACTTGTTGGCGTTTGTTTCTAAAGGCCTGAAGATGAACAAGAGTATCACAATCCTCCTGTCTCAGCCCAGATACCATTAGCATAATTCGAGATGATGGAGCCAATCGAGTCGGACTGCTTCGATGCCGTTGTTTCCGTATTACATCTTCGGTTCCTATGTTCAATGTGGATTCCTCAACCCTGGTCTTCGTAAGACTCAGCTGAAGGCCGGCTTTCGCTACAACTGTGCATGCACTTCTGTCAGCGAATGAAAGCCGTCGTCACGATCGCCCGGAAACACAGTATCATTAGCATAATCCAAAGGCGTACGCTGCTTCGATGAGTATTTTGAGCTTTGGCTCCAATCTTCTGACAGGAAATTTTCCTAGTGCTGTTTAGCGCTTTCGTTTCAGTGGAAGCAAACACGAACTCGAACAACTTGCTTTTTTCAAGTTCATCTTGCAACGGTCTCAATACCCTGCCCAAACAGTATGCATCAGCGCTAATTCTGTCCGAAACTCTAGCATGTATAATTCTCGCCAAGCACAGGTGCGCCCCCTCGTCCAGAAATTTTTATTTACAAGCTACACCGCCCCTGCACAGGATGTAGTTTCAATGATAACACTAGCAGATAGAAATGACCATCATCATGCTCTAAAAACCATAGGTAAACTTGCGTTTACACAACCAAGAAAGAACCACGCAGGCCTGGCACCTGATTAACCGTTGGAAGATTTCTGAAGAGTAACAGATGACCAGTGCAACGATACAAGGCAAACAATAATCGTTGGCAAGTCAAAAGGAAGTGCGAGTAATCGAGACAGAAATAAATTCACGCATCATTGATTTGTGCGTGCAGTTTACCCTTCCATTTTTATCAATGCTGTAAACCACGCTAAAACTACAAAAAGCTTGTTCACTGGGTCACTGGTGATGCTTTTCAAAGGTAAGTGAAATTTTCTATCACCAAATTACGCAACGGTCGTAAAGCATTGATTGAAACTTTCATCCCCATTTAAGAATATGAAATGAGCAATAAACGTCGACAAAGCCAAGAAACTAGGATCCTTGCGAATCATCTCAGCGGCACTATTCATGGACTATATATCGAACCCTAAAATCCGGACTCGTAGAAACACCATCAACCTGTTTACTATCGCAAAAGAACGGTGACCGCGTTGGCTGGGGTAAACACTATGTCATCCAGAGGACAAGATCATCTTAATTACACTGAACGCCATTCCGAGGCATGGATAGTACCGGAAAAGAGGTGGACAAATTAAGACCCGGGTGTCAGAACTGACGCTGAAGAACTCATCTGATCGGGAGTAAACAGTGCAAGAACTGGTTGACTATTCCGGTAGACAAAGTGCGTGATCGACAGACATAGAAAGCAGCGATATGGGACGTTATTGGAGCCGACCAAACCAATGGTTCTGATGCCACTATGCATTTTACAAAGTCAAAAAACGAAACTTCTGCCACGTACCCTGAAATGGAAGCTTCGCTAATTGCCTGCAGCATCGTCTCAATTCGAACTTTTCTCGACCTCCCACGATGGAAGCGAAAACATCAGCTGAAAGCTAAAAATTTAAGTAATTTTTTAAGATGATGAAATTTTCCAAATTTAGTTTGCCAACTAAATTTACTAATAAAACGTTTTTATCGCAGGTCTAACAGGAGTCTTATCGGATAAAACGGCTAAAAATCGACAAAGGCAACATCTAGATATAGTCGGCAAATAACCCATAGCGATACATAAATATATTTATGCGGTTATGCTTGTACGATTGCTTAAATTCAATCCCTACGTTTACTTGGACAAAGGCACACACTTGAATCGAAATCTACGCGACGCTTGCTACCGTTAACGCAACCATAAACATATCATGAAGGCAAAACGACGGCTATGCAGGCAATGAGAACTAAGAGAAGGCAAATTTCCTTATGCAAACCATATATCATACATCTTATATGCAAGAAAAACACCAACACCAGTAAAGGTAAAGATTTTATGAGATGGAGGAGGCGTTATTAGTCTTTATTTGTAGATGATGAAATAAATTAGATGTTTCATCATGCTGCTGATTCACAGAATGAGG